GGATGAAATAAGGCTGCACAAAACTGCATAATGGGGAGCTTCAGAAATTGTACTCTGTGCTAAATATAATCAATACATTTTAATCTTTCTGAGACACACAGGAAAACCAGGGATTCTCCACAAACTCTAAAAACAATATCATACCACATATCCTCATGTGATTATTCACACTGAAACCTTGGTGGTGGCGCACATGCAGCTCCGTGGCGATGAGACACATCCCATCCCTTGGTGGCTGATACGCTTGTGTCTTTCTCTTTGTCAGCTGGTCACAACAGGGATGGAACTTAATTTCTGAAACCTGATACTTTTATGGTTTCCAGCAAGAATCACTGTTCCTTGGTGGCTGCATGCCAGAACTACCACTGTAATGCTACAAACGAGTTTATCACAGTTTGCGCACATACCGCTGGTGAAGAATTATAAAAATACATACAAACAAGGAAATTCACAACCATAAAACAGACCATACTAAATAACACAACAAACAACAAAATACAATCAGAGAAAGAGACAACATAGTGGACACCATTCTATCACAGTCTTCCTTCCAAATTAATAACAACTGTTAGAAACAGAAAAAAGCCTCACAATGACAGCCCCATCCTCTGCAATATTCTCACAGTTCCTACAGGACAGCACTCCCATAAGACACAAGAAAATGGGTACCTACAAATATGTACGTTACAAATTACTGAATTACAATCAAAAACTTAACCAAAACAAACCTTATACTACAAGAATTCAACATCGAACCAAACTTACAATTTACCACGTAAAAGGAACAGAACAACAAAATTAATTTGCTCAACATTACAATACATGGAACAGAAAGTTGCCTATAATACAAAATATCCAAATGCATGGATTTCCCTTGTACAACATATAGGTAAACCACAACAATAACAAAAGTATTTTAGATCAAAGCACAAGAACAAAAAGACACAGAAAAACGGAGGAAACAAAACATCTCATACCCATACACCAACAAAATACACAACTAGAACAGCAGCACCAGGTAAGAAAAGAAACCCACATAGGCACCCCGCAAAAACACACAAGTTCACATCACACAGAGAACAAATTCCACAACTGCCTGAATTCCCCAGATAAATATACCTTTATAATTAATATGTTATTACTTTAACTACAATTTTAATTATATAAGACTTAATACAAAAAGAGGCATTACATAGAACATAAAAACTGGAAATAAACACTCCAATTGTCTAAATACTGAAAAAAAAAATGTACGGGGCCTTAGCAAATCAGAGAAAAATCTGGATATAAGAAAGGCTGTACTTACCTAAATGTTGCCACAAAAAGTACAAAACATGTAGTACTTAATACATGACCTACAGCGTAGCTAGACTAACACTCGGGTGACGGAAATATAATAATAAAGGAAAAGATTACAAGAATGAAAAAAAAAAATCGTCTCCCCTGGAAACAATTAATTAATGGCGACACTAAATTAAAATAATGCCGTTTTACAGTTAAAACCATAAACCAACGTGAAGCATTCAAATTCAAACAGTCGATGCAGCAATGTGCATTTGGTTAATCTAGGAAGTGTATTCAGATCTGATAAAGGTACGATTGATAATTATTCTGCACGGTTCACCATCTTATTTACTTACCTTGCTTAAAGTCAAAGTGAAGGACAAGAGACGAACCCAGACGAACAACTCCCCTCCGCACCGCCATCAAAATAAGCTAGCAATGGTACCAACCAGCAACGGAGAACTACAATCACGCATCAGAGTTGACTTACGTGTATATACGCGGAACAGTAAGCACCCACAAGAAGTTAATAAGGACCATAAGGACGATAAGGACAGATACAGCGAGGGCGTCATGGGTTACCGTTTAAAAGCAAGCAACACCTCAGAGCTGACATATCGTATTAAAAACCTTCATTTCCTTAATATTCTAATTTTTAATTCGTTTAATTATATAAAGCATAAAAAAATTGAAAGATATTGTTCTGATTATCAACATCATCAATTGTCATCCTCTTTTTATTTAAAGAATAGCGTTTCGGAGACTGTATTCTGTCTCATCAAAGCAAAAACTATTCAGATAGGTCGCAATCTATGAGGATAAACAACACATTAAGCAGAGTCCTTGAGAAGCTAAGAGTCACTAAGCTACTCAAGAGATTACCCACATTTTATGGAACCCAAATGTTCATTGCTGTTTCCACAGGAGTCTGTCACTGGAACCTGTCCTCAGCCAAATCAATCCAGTCCATGCCTTCCCACTATATTTCTTTAAGATTCACTGTAATATTATTCTTCTATCCATGCCTCAGTAATCCAAGTGGTTTACTTCACCTTGGGTCTTCTGGCAAAAAATTTATATGTAGTTCTCATCTCTCCCATCTGTGCCACATGCTCTGTCCTTCTCAAGTGTAGAAAATTTCAAAATGGTCTTTATTAACTGATAGAGGGGACGAACAGCTTCATATGGGTCCCAGACAAAGGTAGTTGTCCGATATCCATCACATATACTGTATTCTATCACTGCCAACAGGCAAGGGAAAGTCATGTAAAAATATCTGCACTGAATTCAGATGATCTTGAGTACAAGAATTCTGACCTCATAAATTTAATCTAGCAGATCACCTAGATGGATTTACATTGTCACTACAACTTAATATCATTGTTCTCAGAAACATACCAGAACTGTTGTTTCCAGCACTATTTGAGGTGTCCTTATTTCCTCTGCCAATACTCTTGCGCTCGATGCCTGATGGTTTCAAGTTTGGAGGCAGACATTTCACTATCTTCATCCTCACTGATATTAACCTGTGCCACTCCTTGTCTGCAACGCTGCACACTGTTCTGTCCAGTTCTGTCTGCCCCCCCTCGCTGATGGGATAAAAATTAGACCTGAATCAAGGCTCTGTGGCAACTTCGGACACCCTCGCGAAACAGGTCGCCCATTCTGTGTATGGTTCAAAGAAGCTGACTTGGGACATACACCATGACCAGCCATTCCAGTACTAACAGCCAGTCGATATTTGAAGCCTTTACTCATGGCTGTTTTGTCCGATATCCATTCAGTTTCTCCCATCTGAGAATAGATTACAAACAAGTTTGTTCCATATTTTTAGGCTGCTTCTCTTCGGATGTTATGTTCTTAGCACACTTATCTGGTTCTCTGCTAATTATTCTTGACCTGCGATATTCATGCGGCAATATGATGAATGTAATTTCTAAGAGCTGATCATTGTCCGTGACAATTTAAGAGAGAATTCTGATTCTGATGTTTCAACGGGAAGATAAGTCTTAATCAAAGTCTCTAAATTACAAACTACACGTAATACGACAAATTATTCTCACTCTTCCTCTTCTGAGGTGGTTGTCGAGTTCACATCATCACTCACCATTCATAGTATATGCAAGTTTCATTTGGTTTCTTTTAAAGTTGGAATGATTATATATAACATAATTAGGCTGTTGAATGGGTAGAACATACTTCCCCTCTGGTGAGTGCAGCCATTCTAAGTAGTTGGAGCCGTGGCCGCTTGAGGGCGGCACCTCTCGGGTTGTGGCGTGGAGGTGCCTGTGCTCGCCAGGGAGCAGCAGGTTGGTTGCTAGAACGCCTTGAAAGAAGACCTAGAAGACCTAGAACGCCTAGAAAGTGTGGAACAGTGAGGAACGTGAGAAGACTGAGCGTGTGTAGGCGTGTGGTGTTGGCGTCACGCAGGAAGCATACAAATGGAAACTGGTTGCTGTACATTAAGTTACATTAAGAAGTGTTTAAATACAGTCCGTGGTGTTGCTCAGCGCACAACATTTTTTGGTCCTCCGGGCCGGATATCAGTAAAACTGTGCAACTAATCTAAACGATTTTGCAAGCGTGGCAATGTGCATTGTTCTCGTTATCCAACGAAACAAAGGGCCGCAGTGACGCACTGCCAACAGCCGTGACCGCCGTGACCTGGTAAGTACAGTCTGGTTCAAAATCACAAAACTTCCTTCGTATTTCCTGGGCTAACATGGATAACAATCAGAAACGTGCCTTGATCAAGAAACGAGCAGTCATCAAATTACGCGTGACTCGTCTAAGCTCCTTTGTAATTGCGTGGGAAGTCGGTGGCAATCTGAACGAAATCAAGGTTAGGAGACGGCTACTGTGCAGCCTAGTGGATGAGTACAATGAGGTACAATTACAGCTGGAAATCGACGCACCTGAGGATGGATCGCACGAAACCGACAGGGCAGCTTTCGATGATTTGTGCCTAGAGCTCAAAGCGAAAATGGAAACCTTATTGTGCACCAAACCCCCTTCTCCGCCCCTATCTGTCAATAATGAAAGTGTGATCAATAATACCATAGTGAAACTTCCAACGATTTCCCTACCTAAATTCAGTGGTGCATTGTAAGAGTTCATGCATTTCTACGACACATTTGTAGCATTGATTATTAGTAATGATGTGCTCACAGACATTCAGAAATATTATTACTTATTATCATGCCTCTCTGGAGAGCCACACCATCTCATAGAAAATTTGCCTGTATCTCAAGACAAATTTAAGGTTGCGTGGGACTTGATCCGTGGTCATTACCATAATCCGCGGCTCATCTCAGATCTACATATCAAGGAATTAATGACTTTGCCAAATACAAGGCACGATTCTCCTAATGAGCTGCGGTTACTAATCAATCAACTCTGCAGCAACTTAAATGCAGTGGAGGCTTTGAAAATCGAAACACCGTTACACGAAATCGTACTGTCCCACTTGGTATTGGAGCGCATCAGTCTAAATCTTAGGAAGCAGTGGGAGAATAGTAGTTCAAGCAAAGTGTACCCCAGCCTGAAGGACCTAATTAAGTTTCTGGAGAGTAACTGCCAGACCCTGGAAATCGTCTCATCTAACAAGACTGCTGCGGGATCCCAGGAGGACTTGAAACGTGGGACAAGCTTGAGACGACAGCGACGATCCTTTGTCACCATGTCCCCCCCCCGTCCGTTATGCACGTCTTCGCACAGTCTGTACAAGTGCGTGAAATTCAAGAACCTGAGCGTCAGTAGCCGCATCAGCCTTGTAATGTCGTCAAGAATCAACTATAAAGGATGGGAATTGCCCACCGACATTCCTCTCGCAGATCCGCACTTCTGCCAACCAAGGGCCGTAGATCTACTGCTAGGTGCAACTGTATTTTTTGAAGTGTTGAGGCAGGAACAGCAATCTAGGCAGGGCCACCGAACACTCCAGAATACTCAATTTGGTTGGGTCTTGGCAGGATGTATACGTGCACATTACGTGGGACAATGGAAGACGGCAACAACCTCATTGTTAACCACAACTCACGACTTGCATGCACAAGTGGAACGATTCTGGCTGCAAGAATAATTGACGACACGCCACCAGTCCAAGGAAGAGAGCATGTGTGAAGAGCATTTCACAAACTCTGTTACCCATGATGATGCAGGCAGATTCAGAGTGAGGCTACCCTTATGGCAAGACGGAGAACTTGGGGACTCCCTTGCCACTGCTAGCCAGAACTTTGGATACATGGAAAGGCGATTACTGAGAAACCCAGATTTGAAGAATGAGTATGTCAAGTTTATGGATGAGTACCTGCGACTGGGGCACATGGAACTCATCGACCCTACTGACCAGCATCGGTCTTGCTATTACATGCCTCATCATGCGGTAGTAAAGAATACAAGCAGCACTACCAAGGTTAGAGTAGTCTTTAACACGTTAGCAAAAACCACCTCGTCACTCTCGCTGAATGATTTGATGATGGTAGGACCAACCATCCAGCAGGATATGTTCTCCATAGTATTACGCTTTCACACACATAGGTATGCATTGACTGCAGACGTGGAGAAAATGTACCGACAGATTCAAGTGCATGAGGACGACGGAGACCTCCAGAGAATCGTGTGGCGAAGTCATCCCAGTCAACGGTTGGAAACCTACTGTCTGACCACAGTAACTTACGGAACTGCTGCAGCTCCTTTTCTGGCAACACGATGCTTATTACAGGTGGTGCTTGACAGTCAACGTACGCAACCGACTGCAGCTGAAGTAATTAAGAATGACTTCTATGTCGACGACCTGCTCACAGGAACGGACGCTGTTAGTGAAGCTATCCAGCTCTGTGACGACGTCACATCATTGCTCAAGAGTGGAGGGTTCCCTATTCAGAAGTGGCGATCCAACAGTCTAGACATTTTGGAGGCCATTCCAGCCACACTTCAGGAGACACAGGGACCTTGCAATCTTCCTCTTGACGAGGGTGCAGTGAAGACTCTTGGACTGCACTGGTATCCCAGTAGTGACTTGTTCCAATTCAGCGTGGTGGACAGCAGACACAAGAATGTGACATGGACGAAGAGAATGGTGCTGGCTAATGTAGCGTCCATATACGACCTGTTGGGATTACTAGGACCTGTCATCATACAGTGTAAGTTATTCATTCAAACCCTTTGGCAACGACAGCTGGATTGGGACTCGAGATTGCCTTCAGAACTTGCCACGCGGTGGGAGGAAATTCATCAACGGCTGCCTGATCTCAACAGGATTAGTATACCCAGAAGAATCACAGCAGATTGCACAAGCATCACTGACTTCATGGCTTTGCCGGTGCCTCAGAAAGAGCCTACGGGTCGTGTGTCTATCTACGTTCCGTAAGCCCAAACAGAACCACCACACTTCATCTGTTATCTTCGAAATCAAGAGTGGCACTATTGAAGCAGGTGTCACTCCCAAGACTGGAGCTGAACGCCGCCCTTCTTTTAAGCCAGTTAGTAGATAAGGTGCATAGGGCCCTCAACCTACAAATTGTTCAACGCTTTTACTGGACGGACTCCACAGTTGTTTTAGCCTGGATAGCTGGGTGCTCGTCAACTTGGAAAACATATGTGGCCAACAGTCGCGGAGATCCAACGGCTAATCACTTACCGAGCTTGGAGACATGTCGCATCACAGGACAACTCTGCGGACATCATCTCCAGAGGAACGGACCCACGACGACTTCAAGGCAATCAGCTATGTTGGGCGGGACCTTCCTGGCTAAGCAAGGATCCCTCCTCCTGGCCAGCACAGCCCCCAGCAGATCCCAAGAAGGTTCCTGAACGGAGAGGAGTAAAGCTATGCTGCATCACCGTCTATTCAGAGATAGAATCCTTATTCGAACGATTCTCCAGTTGGGCAAAATTACAAGTTCCTCTACAAGCTGAAACAAGGTGCAGCATCAGGCCGGCACGG